AGATCATAATCATATGACTGCCGGTGTACTGCAATGGTTGTAACTTCAAGGAAGGTTCATAAGTTCCTTAGTCCAGCATTATTGTAACTTTGAAGAGTCACTGAATGAATGGCTGTAAGTCAAGTACTACCTGTACACATGCAAATAGTTGGAGAAAAAAATACGAATCTTATTCCTACTTATCTAAAATATGCTATTTTCCATGTCTAACACTTAAATCATTTTGTACTTCACAGAATTGTAAAGATACATGCCTTTCATTCTTTATACATTTTGTGCTGATACAGGTTTCATTGAAAGCACTATCTTTAGTTGTCAAGACGAGCAAAACTATCTTAGTTCTGTATTTTAAAAAGTAGTTTTAAAAGTTCTACAAAGTTCAGATAAGTCATTAGACACGTTTAGCATTTTCCACAGGAAAATAAGAATCTATTACTTGTGCTTAATAAACACAGTTTAAATACCTGTTTATTTGCATAACAGCATTAAAATATAGAAAATCAAGTTGGGACAAGTAAGGAACATTAAAACAAGTTTCTTATCTTAAGTCTAACTGCCTGGTGCAAAACCATTTTCTCAACTTCTATATTATAATAATTACTCTGTACAGTACTTTTACTATGAATCCATGTATTCCTTAGGCTTAGGATAAAGCCAATTCAGCTTGAAATAGGTGCCACCTAAACAAATTGCTACATTCAAATGTCAGGAATACTGATTTCTCAGAATATAAAAATTTTATTCCAATGTGAATATAATTGATTTGGCTCCACTTAATGTCTCTATTCACTGGTCAACAAAAAGACAAGGATATTTTAGTGTTATATTCAAACAAACTATCATTCATAATAAACAATGACTCATGATCTAAAGCTGGTGATCCTGTCTTATTTGGGCAAATATATCTATTGGGATATACTAAGCAATCACTGACTTTTTGAGTGGTGGCGCAGTGGTTAGAATGCAATACTGCAGGCTATTTCTATTGACTGCTGGATGCTAGCAATTCGATTCTCAGTGGCTCAAGGTTGCCTCAGCCTTCCATCCTTCCGAGGTTGGTAAAATGAGGATTCAGACTATTGGAGGCAATATGGTGATGCTGTAAACTGTTTAGAGAGGGCTGTAAAGCACTATGGAACGGTATGTAAGTCTATGTGCTATTGCTATTCTGTCTATTCATTTATGCATACAGATCATACAGCACCTATGACAGAATTCTATGTTTACCAAAACTAAGTAAATAACGCCCAATACAAAAGCCTGAATGGCACTACGAACATTCCAAAGTAACCTATTCTAAACAAACTTGGCAAAACAGAATACAAGGATACATAAAAATCCGACATTACTTCGTGTGTGTGTGTGTGTGTGCGCGTGCGTGTATATTCTATATTATAATATTCCACTTTTGTAAGATGTGAGGATGAAGCTAAAATATTTTAGCCATAATGTATCATATAAAAATCTTCTCGGAGACTACTTATGTGGCATTCATGCAAATAAACTGTTGATCCCACAAATATAAAACCTAAACATTAAGGAAATATAGGCACTGTGAATATTTAGGTCTCTTCCAGTGGACAACTGGACTTAAATATTTGCTCCATAGCTGAATTATTTGCTTGGTAATTATATCCACTTTATATATGGATACAATTGTACATACGTTTAACCAATTTGAGAAAGCTACAGCTTCTCTTACTGAATATTCCTTTATACAGATTGTTCCAGATGAGTATTACAAGATGTAAGAGGACATTAACTACCTCATCATTTCTGTGCAATCCCAATTACTCATTCTGTAATTGTAGTTGTCATATTCTAAATGATTGTAATATTTTGGGTATACTATCATTTTAATAACAAATTTATGTTCTTAAAAATAGTTGACTATCAGTCTAACACTGGCTTGAGTTACATGGTGTAATGTGATATCTTTGTTTTGGTTTAACCTTATACAAACTATCACTGTCCACTAAGCCATAACTTGAAAATTCTAGAAAAATATCGCAAACATTATACAAATGTTCAAAACAAAAATCTATCTAAGTTT